GGAATGAAATGAGAAGAAAAAATACTCTTTCCATCAAAAAAAACTAAAAACAAAAACAAAAGATATATGGAACTCAGGGAGAATATTGAAGTAGAAGTGCTTTTTCATTGTTTGTGACTTTCATGTTCAAGCAAACATCTCCACTCAAAAGGATTAGACATTTAAAATGACAATTTTCTATTAATATTTATAATAATGTAATACTCATATTCTGTCTTCTTTAATATTTTTTCTTTGGTATCAAGTAAGTATTTCCCCCTATATCAAACATTGGTACTTAACTCATTACGGCTAAGAAAATTATTTCAGGGGTAATCTAAAATGAAAGGTTTTCACAATTGCATTCCAATTAGTAAAATCATCATCACTTCCTCTTACAAATAGGCAAACTGAAGATGATTGGCAGAAAGGAGATGTATAATGTGCTGTGTTGGGTACACACCTACACTTCTTCTTTTTTCCCTTCAAGATTCCCTTCTTGGCCTTTAATGCCTTTGCTTTGTCTTCCACACCTACACTTCTTGATACCGATATTCTCTAACGCATCACAAATTTAACAAAGGATATTTGACTTGCTCGTGTCTTGCATAGTCTTAAAATGCTTCCAAGGCAACTAGGCAACACTGTTACTATCAAAGAACAAAAAGTAATGCTCGAATGCAGGCTCCAAGAGCCATTGACACTGTTGGTTACCATGCAATGGACACCAACCTGAGATACAACGAAAATACTGCCCCTTCATTTACCAGCATCATGATGAGTGCTATATTAGAGTTCACTGTTTTAGCTACCTGTCAGTCCGTCTAGCTGAGGGTCTTCCATTTGGGGTAATATCCTACCAACCAGATATTACTCCAGGAAATTGGTCCTTTTCCTTTCTTCTTCTCCTTCTCCTTTTTCTGCTTCTGCTGCTGCTTCTGCTTCTTCTTCTGCTTCTGCTGCTGCTTCTTCTTCCGCTTCCACTGCTGCTGCTTCTTCTTCTGCTGCTGCTGCCTCTGCTGCTTCTGCTTCTTGAACACGGTTTCATTCTGTTGTACACAGACTTGCTGATAGCCACAGCCCAAATCACCTAGCACCTTCTGTCCAAACCACCACATCACCTAGCAACTTCTGTTCTTCTGTGATGCAACTGAAAAGGCAAAGCTTGGGTGGGGCTCACCCTTTAGTCCTCAATCAAATAGAGAGGTTTTGAAAACTCTTTGGTAGCCTAATGGTAAGGAGCTACATTGTCAACTCAAAGGCACGTGGTTCAAATTCACCAGGCTGCCCTGCAGAAGATGGGCCACCTCCTCCCACACAACGTATTGCCTCAGAAAACCCACTAGCTTTGAGTTGGTCTTAACTGAATGGAACCCAAGAACAATGCTCCAGATTTGACACTAAGCACCATTTTTGCTACTTTTCCTTTGGCTGTTGTGTTGACGATCTCCTACTTGTGTGATTTAAGTTTATAAATGACATTTAAAGGATCGCTGTGATGCTCGTGAACTGGGGATACAAGGAAAGGCTAATAGGAACACAAATCACAAGATGGAGTGCTTACTGTGGTCGGGCGACAAGATTAGAGGAAATTACAGAGATAAAAATGAAGGTTGGGGGGTGTGTTCACAGAGAAAGCACACAAATTGCTTAAAGCCACCCAAAAAGTCACTCTGAGCCTTCCCATTCCAGATACTGTAGGCTTGTGCATGAAACACTGTTTACCTCTGAGGTCCTTCACCAGGGAGGTCTGATGGCCTTGTGCTAAGAAGCTGCAATGCTACCCTAAAGGCATGCCCGTAACATATGTAACAAAGCACACCATTCCTGCCTCTACCAGCCACTGGGGTTGCTCAGAAACTGGGTACTTTTTTAAATACTCAATATTCTTCACCCAAATGCCAAAAACAAATTTTTTTTTTCAAATTCATGACAAGGAAAAAATATACTGCCATGGATTTCACTTTAATGCTTTGTTATACAAATATTACAATCAACACAAAAAATGTAAACAACGCAATTCATTGTCTAAGCTTGCAGCCAAGGACCTCTTCAAGGTGACAAAAAGCAATCATATCTGCACTGAAACAGATGAGAGAGTGAATAATTTAAAAGCGATGTATGATAGGGTATTATGGTTATCGTAAGAGTCCACAATTAAGGTTGCATAGTGGAATGGACTTGGGGCGGTGGAAGGGGTGCGGGGGGATTGTGTACCAGGGAGGGAGTCTTTCTTTTACTTTTGAAAGAGAGGATCGAACTGGGGGGTGGGGGTAGATGGCTGGGAGTGTAGAAAAGTGCAGCAATGAATGAATGGAAATCCAAATTCTCTGTAAATGTTCATCAAAATTATTTTAAAAAATGGGGGGGAAAAGCAATCATATCATCTTAAAGGCTCAGTTTCTTCTAGGTCAAACCATATTTATTGCTTCATATGGATGTGAATGCTGTCCAGTGAGTATGGAAGACCCCAAAACAATTGATGACCTTCAATTGAGGTGATTGTGGTATAACTGATGTTGATATGAAGTTTATCGTAATACAAACACTGACGACTGCTGATGCGTAATGTCAAGCTGGAGATGTCTCAACCTCCAGCAGTTTTTCAGAGGCTGTAAATGTCATGAGAGTAGAATGCTTATCTTTCTCTCCTGGGAATCACAACACTTTATAACACAAAGTAGTATCGTCAAGAAGACAGCATTTAGCACCCAGATTACAAATTAATGAAGCCATGTTTGTCAGAGTTGAAATGCCCCATAGTGTGTTTCAGATTGTCCACTTGGGTGGATTCAAGTGACCAACCTTTCTCCACTGGCCGAGCGGTGACATACACCCAAAAATTCCTCATTCATATTAAAAGATGCTAGAACTCACTGCAACCCTATTAAGAGAGAACCAAAGCTTCCCTGTCCTTCACCAGTCACATCATTCAAAACCTCCCCTCTCCTGCTCCATCAGGCACAAGGCAAAGCTTCTCCGTGTGTACACCATCCACACCAGGCTCAAACCCATTTTACAAGGTGCCTACATTCTCACCACACAACTTGTAACAAGAACATAAAACGTGTAGCAGATGCAGCTTGTGTGCTCATTAGTTTCTCCCCACTTTTGCAACATCAAGTATGGACACATGCACACCCACATTCTTGATTTAGGGAGCCAAGTTGAACATGAATTTAGAATTGTGTGCTTTCAGACATGCATGTGTCTGCACATGTGTCCGTCCTTAGCAACAGACATCAAAATGGCAAAGACTCCATGCCTTCTTTCAATAAATAGCATCTCCCATCTTGGGATGAACAACATGAGATTTTCCATGTCTGAACTAGCTTAAGGTTGTGATCATGGTGTTTGCTCCTTAAAAAAAGAAGTCGTAAAACTTAGCTACTTTTTACAGATTCTAGGGAGGTGCTATTCCTTGGAAAGTAACAAAGTGCTTGGGAAGGTAAAAGAGAGGATGCTGGTCAATGAGTCAGTGATGCATTCTGTCCTGAGAGGGACCAATGGGGAAGCTTTGTCTCATATGCTACTGCACATGTTAGCAGAGACTATGTCTTGGAAATGGACATCTTTCTTGGAAAAAGGGAGAGGAAGACTCTTTTGGTACAGTGTAAAACCAACCAACCAACCAACCAACCAACCAACCAACCATCCATCCATCCATCCATCCAACCAACCATCCAACCAACCAACCAACCAACCAACCAACCATCCATCCATCCAACCAACCATCCAA